AAGAAACAGGTTCGAAACAGATCGGGAGTATCGACTTCCCAATGCGATAAACCCTGATGAAATCGGGAAAGGAGAAGACCGCGAGAACTCGCAATCTGGTTCGGTATACACCGCGACGAGAGAAACGACAGATTAATATTGACTGAAGGGGAGAAATTGATTACAACCCGCAATGGAACCAGGGCCATCACGTTCAATACGCATGACTCATGACATTTGGGAAAGACTACAGGCTACGAAGAACAGCGTACTTTCGTCAGCTGTTTTCACGACGCGCGAAAACTCGCTCTTCCGAATGTGTCCTTCGAGCTTCGTGAATAGCTCCTCCACGGCCGGCCCTTCCCCCGAACCCGCCGATCGCCCCGATGCCGACTTCCCCGCAGGGGCATTTCCGCCGTCTTTTCCGCCACCGCCTGCGGCCACCCCGCTTCCAGGAGCCTTGGCGGCTCCCCCGCCTTTTTTCTTATTCTTTCCAGCCATGTTGCGAGGCGCGTCTCATGCGACGCAGGCGAATCGAGCGTGGAAAACGAGTGATCCTGGTAGTAGGGTATCCGTAGATGAGGAACTCGAGGTGGGGAATCTCGGGGAATTGGGATGAGGCACTGATGTGTAATACCCGTTATTGCGTACTCTGTGATCACTTTACCCTTCATAAACTTGTGCTTATGAATGACATAGAAGATGATTGCTATTGCGTTATCTGTGATCGTGAACTGTATCACAAATTTCCTGCGGTAGTTTTTATTATCTTATTTTTAAGAAATGATTGGTTGTGTAAGTAAGCATTTTTTCCAAGATTGGTGTGTTTTTTCCTTCATTCTGATCTAGTTCTTACAGTGACCTAGAAAATTGAGTGTTCAACTTTATGTTATTGTTGGCAGCATTATCACTTCCTCACCGATAGAGCGCCAGTCCAGCAGATCAAAAGCTTGTGTGTGGTGTTTGTCCTTTTTTCGTTTCCACGTCATTCACGAGGTGTAAGATCTGCCATTTGGCAAGCCAGCCAAGCTCGACTGGCCAAGCCTCAGCCAATAGAAGTGCGAATGACATGTGGCGGATAATGCCCAGGGCCGCCATCTTCCTCCAGCGCTCACTGGACCTCAATATTTGCGCCCTCCTGCTCAGCCACTTTTCCCCCACATCACAAATCCGCTTTGCGATTCTTCCAATTGGAGCAGGCCATGCCGCATTTCCCCAGATCCCCGCACACGAAACAGTTCCTGTCACAAATATCGCCTGCCGGATTGGCTGCGCGCCGAATCCCCCCCTACGTTTCCGTAGGACTTTCCGCCAGCCATTCCGCAACTCCCTTGTTCTGGTTACCCCCAAAACCTGCCTCCCGCGAGCCCGTTCGCTGGACGAGAAAATCTCCACACACCAAGCCCCCTCCCTTTCCCCCCACTATCCCCCTCGTTTCTCCCCCACTCCCGCTTCCGCTCCTCTTCTCCCCCCCCACCCCCCGCTGCTCCCCTCAACCGCGAAGTTGTTTTGCTTTCCCTGACCGGCTCTCCCGTGACCATGCTGCTTCACTCACAGCTGCTGCCGCCCCTGCAGCTGCTGCATTCAGCCAGCACGCCCTTGCCCGCAGTAGATTCACTTCACATACAGTACGACTCACCACCATCCACACAACTCGCTCACACTTCTGAAGTCACCATTTTCCCAGTTGCTCATCTGATCCTCAATCCGCAGGTCAGAGAGCCAAGCTTCGTTGCAATACTTTCTCGAAAAATCCTCCGCTTCACAATGGCTGCCGCCTCCTGCACCCTCGCAAAGGCTGCTGCTTTTTCCAGCGGCCTGTTTTCGCAGACAGCCGCGAAGCTCGACTCTCTCGCCGTGTCTGGCGGTTTGAGACCAGCGTCGTGCCCTGGCAATGCCTTCGACTCGTTGCGGAGATCCTTCGGCTCCAGCCGCGTCACAGCCATGGCCGGGACCGGCAAGGTTTGTGCCTTCTCCGGAGTAGCTGCCTTCTTGGATCTTACCTTGTAGAAATCTATGCATTCTACTATTAGGGAGCAATCTCATTCTACAGATCCTAGTGCTGCTGATCATGTCTCACTATCTCGAGTCCAAAACGCATTCGCCCTAAATCGAATAATGCCCAGTCTAAACGCATTCGTCGGCAGGCTCGAGCTTGTATTCATACTCTTTCTTCTTCCGTACCCTACATTGTCTTTTCCGTGTAACAGTTCTTCGTGGGTGGCAACTGGAAATGCGTGAGTCTCGTATTCTCTCAATAGTCTGGATGAACACAGTATCGCTGAACCCACTCGTTTCGCTAAACCCTCGCATTCTTGCCAATACTTATGCTTGTTGGTGTGACGAGACACCTTTGCGAAGCATTTGATTCTCACAACCTCTGTAGTGTGGAAACGGACACACTTCACTGTTCATTATCATCTAGTGATATCGACGCATCCTGTTCAAACCGTTGGTTTTCTTCCTCCCGGTCTCCGCGTGCAGAACGGCACCACAGAGTCCATCGCCAAGCTGGTCAGCGACCTCAACGCCGAGTCGCTTGAAGACAACGTCGGTACGTTCATCCTCATCCCCTTCCTTCAATAATAGCTCTTCTCCGATTAATGCAGCGTCTTTGCTCTCGAGACCGCTAGGCCTTTCAGATCCATTCTGTTTCCCTCCAATGTGACGGTTCTCCCACCGCGTTCTCTCCACAGCCCTCTAGTATCATCTGACCGGTGTGTACTCCTCTCCTGCATTCCGGGACCCATATTTGTTTGTCTTCCCACGCGCCAGATGTGATCGTGTCACCTCCCTTCGTCTACCTTCCTCAAGTCATCGGCGCCGCCAGCAAGAGGATCGAGGTGGCTGGCCAGAACTGCTGGGTCGGCAAGGGCGGTGCCTTTACCGGCGAGATTAGGTGCGTCTTTCGACCATGTATCGCGCAACAGTCGTCCACCTCCCATCATTCCCCACCTTCCCCTCCCCCTCCCTCCCAACCTACCCGTTCCCCGCCCTCACTCGCTGACTTTCTCGTCGCCCTCTGCCGTCAGGAGCCTCTCATTAGCCTCTTGTCGTTTTGCGTACCCTGACTCCCGTTGGTTGGTTGGCTGATTGGTTGGATTACGCGCAGTGCCGAGATGCTGGTGGATCTGGGCGCCAAGTGGGTCATTCTCGGCCACTCCGAGCGTCGCCACATTCTCAAGGAGTCCAACGAGGTACGCCGCCTGTACCTACCACTACCACCACCACTGCCACCACCACTTCTCGCGTATCTTCTTTTCCATCTTTACGTCCGTCCTGAGCACGCCGGATCCCGCCCCGTTTCCCCCGCCCGTTCCCCCCTCCCATCTCCCTCTCTCGCAATACCCATCCCGCGGTCGCTCCCAGTCCTGCGACAACGCCTTCCCCCCTTACACCCTCTGAACCCCTGTGCTCATTGTCTCGTTTCTCCCCGCACGGCGTTCCCTCGCGGTCCCGTCCCGTCGCCCTCCTTCCCCCACCCCCTGCGCGCAGTTCATCGGGCAGAAGCAGGAGTACGCGCTGTCCAAGGGCCTCAAGGTGATCGCGTGCGTGGGCGAGCTGTTGGAGGAGAGGGAGTCGGGACACACCTTCGACGTTGTCTTCGAGCAGCTCAAGGCCACCGCAGGTGAACCCTACGTCTCAACATCCCAACGCCTCAACTCCACTTCGTAACAAAACTTTTGAACCGAACTGAAGCGGCCGTGTGGTCTATGCGGGCTCTTCGGCGCGTTTCAGTGCTTCCTTGCGGACTCTATGCGGTTTCTCGAATCCGAAACTGAAGCTGGAAAACGGATCTGGATTTGGCCTCTGGGTTTCCTGTCTTGGTCTCGGATTGTCTTGCCGTATCCATCGCGAACGCACGATCTATGAAACTGGAAATCTTAACCCCCTGCATTTGTAGAGATAGCTACCACCCTTTGTTATGACGCACCACGGAACCTCCCCCTGTCCACGTGTTGCCTCCGCGAGCAGACCACGTGTCCGCGTGGGACGACGTGGTGATTGCGTACGAGCCGGTGTGGGCCATCGGCACGGGCAAGGTGGCGTCGCCGCAGCAGGCGCAGGAGGTGCACGCGGCCATCCGCACGTGGCTGCAGACCAACGTGTCTTCCGACGTCGCCTCCAAGACGCGCATCATCTATGGAGGTGCGTGCGTCAGCTGTGCTCTTTCCCCTGGTTTGCGTTTGCTGAATTTTATCCTTGGAGCGTGCTGCTCTTGCGTGTCAAACGAGAGCGTCTGATGAAAAGGTTCAAACCAGGAGCGGCTTCCTTTGAAGTGAGACGGATGAAGATGGTAGGAGGTGTCTGCATGTTCGTGTCCACAGTTCAAACGTGTCACCAAGCATTCTTGGTGCATGCCCCTAGAATTTCATTCCAGTCCTCCGCAAACCACTGAATCCCCCCCCTTCTTCTTGTCCTTATGCCTTTCAGGATCCGTGACTGCTGCCAACAGTGCTGAGCTTGCTAAGGAGGAAGATATCGATGGTTTCCTTGTTGGCGGTGCCTCACTAAAGGTATGTGCCGCTGGCTGCTTTGTCTATCCTTTCCTGATCACGCTTATTACGATAGCTGCCATTGAGTATCAACTTGTCCCGATTTCATGTGCTTTTCAGACCTTGTGGTCAGTTTTGTCATTTTGTTTTGCGATCTAACGCGTACAGTTCTGCGCAACTTGTGCTGCAGGGACCTGATTTCGCTGCCATCTGCAACTCTATGACCTCCAAGGCGGCAGCTGTCAAGTCTGCTTGAAAGCTTGCTTCCACTAGTAGCAATGTAAAAGTCGAGTGTGCCTTTTTGCTAAGCAATCCGTCACATGGCCGTATTCTCATAACACGTACAATGTACTTCTTTAGGGGTGAGCACATGTATCTGTCTGAGTCCCTCGAAAAGAAAGGGCTCAATCAACTGACTGAATGCAACGTTCCATGAAAGTGCAACCCTGATATGGAACAAGAACTTCGGGCAATGTGGCACAGAGGAAATTGAAGTCATGACTCATTATAAAGCAGGTACACCCATTACACTGGGCTTCGGATCCCCAACAACTGGATATCGAATATGACTGTGCCAAGTGAAGAACCTTCCCCATTTGCCAAGCGTGTTGGGTTGAAAACCGTTGTGAAGAGACGCTGTCTGTCAGAATACTGCATGGGCGAAAAGCAAGTACACGGGCAAAAAGGGTGTTACTTTATATCATAAGGCTGTCAGTCGGGAAAGGGAATGATGATGGGGCAACGATCAGAGCATAAGGCAGAAGTGAGTGAGTAAAATGGTGGAGACTAGAGATACAAACAGCAAGAGTGCATCCACCCCATTCCATCATGGCCCAACAGAGCCCAGCGTATGAAATCATACTCTGGGGGGAAGCGGCAGATTCTCTCTGGTTTGATATGACACGTTGGGGGGGATTATGGCTCTGCGCACACCACCCACCCTCATGCCCCGCACGGCAATGCTCAGCCCTTGGATGACCTGCAACGCAAACGGGTTGAAGATGTGTGAAGATGGAATGGAATGAGAGACAAGGTCGATGGTGGGTGGTCGGATAAGAAGGTGGGGGCAAGGCAGGAAAATGTGGCTTGGACAGACCGGCAAATGTAAGGTTGACGGGTTACACCGGTGTGGCTGGGATTGTCATATTAACAAACAACCACCAGAAACTAAAAGGCATAGGCAACAGGCAACAGGAAGTTGCCAGCAAGCAGCATGCAAAGGAAAACCCAGCAGGCACTAGCACCTTGGGATCCCCGACGATAAACTCATACGGAATCGCCTCGCCACTCGCGTCGCGGTGCTCGAACGTGTTGTCGAACCGCCAGCCCTGCTTCGCCCCCAGCCGCGCGTAGTAATGCACTGCCACCGTCTGTCCGTCCATCGGCATGGCTCCTGTGCCCTGCCGAATATCCGCCACTTGCACTCCCCCTTCCACCTCCGTGAATGTGCCACCTCTGCTGCTGCTGCTGGTGGTGGTGTTGCCGCCGCTGCTGCTGTTTGCTGCGGCTGTCTCCGCGGCTTCAGCGTCCGCAATTAGCGGGAAAGGCGAGGGGAGGTGGGTGGAGAGGGGCGGAAGGAGGAGAACCAAAGGTAGGCGCAAGAGCGACCGCCGTGATGTGCGGGGCTCGCTCGCTGTCTCGTGAGGAATCTTGGAGATCTTCCTCGTAGCATGTGCGCTGTCCGTCGGGCTGGAAGTGTGCGGGTTAATTGCGTCGCTGAAACCGGAAATTACGGATGAGGTGTCAGGTACGCGAATGCGTGGGTGCGTGGACGAGCAAAGAAAGAGCCTTGGATTGACTTCGCGGGAAATCCGTGCGTGCGAGGGGAGAATTGCGGTAGGGAGATGCGGTTGTTGGTGGGGCGAGCTCAAGGGGGCGCTGCGCACTGTGGTAAACATACCGCGTGGCGCGGCGTTTGTACGGACGTAATTACAAGGAGCAGGCAATGAGGAAAGCGGCGAAACGCTGGAAACAAGGCACACGATGATTGGCCCATCCATGACACAATCGATCAAGAAGATGGGAGGTCACCAATGTGGGAGGTCACCCTAAACCTGGCAGAGAAATCAGCCGCCGATGTGGAACGTCACTTAATTCCAGTCTAGGGAAGGAATATCAATAGTATCTGTCAATATCAGCCATGGATGGATGGACACTGAACCGGAACGAGCATGGGTTAAAAACTAGGGTTCACTGTGTCATTGCGTTGGAGGTTCGTGTTTTGTACTTGTTACGGGTGCAATGAATCTAAGTAGCGAGGATTGCACTAAGGTGTCAAACTAGTACAAAATGTGAGCGGAAGTCATGAGCGAACATTTATACGCGAAACATGCAAACGGTAACGCGGTGCGTGCGAGCTAGCTAGTGCTATGCTGGCAGCGAGGCTCGGGCTAGTCCCGAAGCGTAGGCCGACACGGCCGGGCCAGCAGTGCGAGGTTTGGCAAAACAGTGCGCGCGAAGTTGGCGAAGCCCCGTTAGCAGTAACGGGCGAACAACGGCTGTTGCTGTATGCGATGTAGTCGGACTCCGTAAGGAATGCCGAGAAAATTCCTTACAGTACTGTACCTCTAAAACTAGCATGACGATTTAGAAAGCTTGCTTTCTTATACTGATCATTTGGCATCGTTCTCATTGCAACTGGCAAATTACAACATGGACCTCGAGCTAGACAATATAGATGCTAGTACATGACCTGATTCCACCTACCATAGCATTGTACTAGCTATCCTGCATTATGCGTGCGTACTACCAATCATATGACTAACTGTCTGTCCTCCTGTTCCAGCGGCGTCGCAGATGTCCTCGGTGTCGGGGTGGGGGGTGGGAGAGTTGCATGAGCCGTTGGAAAATGAGAGACGTGGGTGGAGGGAAATGAGCTCCAACTCACGTTTTGTAGTTGGAGAAGGGCGTTTAGCGCGCTTCGACGATGCCAAATCTGCGTTACAGGCAGCTGCGCTTTCGAAATACGTAATTTTGAAAAACACTTCGTGTGTTTAAAAATTATCATTTTGCATAAAGAAAGTGCTTACTGTACATATTATTGCCAACAACTGACAATGACAAGACCGCCATGGCTGATCCCGAGGTCTTTGAACGCATCAATGCCTAGCAATTTCTTATCAGTTGTTACATTAAAGCCTGGATTCGTACTCCTTAAAACCGAAAGCTAAAATAGTGAACCCCGTCCCAACTTGAAAAAGTGTCATGGAGCGACAATGACTCTTGGGCTGATAAAACACTGTTTCAAACCTTTCGTGTGTGCAGATCGAACCCATTTGATTGGCTCCCGCCAAAAAATGAAATGTTGCATCACACACAATGAGTCGCCTTCAACGTGGGGCACCCGCACGACAACTGCACAGCGATCATTTTGATCGTTGGGCCCAACGACAACTTCAACTACTTTCTACTCCATAAGTCTCATATTCTGCCTTGCAAAGAATACCTGAATACTTGGTCGATTTAGCCTAGGCAAGTACCGATTTTAACTTCGATTCGTAGTCTATTCGTGGCCTAGTGACGAACTATTATTTCGCGTTTCGCGCAATCGTTACGTTTCCAGTTATTAGGTCCATTTGTTCTCCGCTCGGCACGTTATTCCCCCCGTCTCCCCCGTGCTCTCCCATCGCCCGTCCCGTCGCCCTCGCATCGCCTTCCCGCTCGCCCCTTATGTCGCCTTCGCGCTCGCTCCTCCTGTCCCTTCTTGCACCTTCGCGCTCGCCCCTCCTGTCCCTTCCCGTCGCCTTCGCGCTCGCCCCTCCTGTCCCTCCCGTCGCCTTTGCGCTCGCCCCTCCTGTCCCTCCCGTCGCCTTCGCGCTTGCCCCTCCTGTCCCTCCCGTCGCGTATCCTCTCTCCCTTCTTCCTCCATCTCTCCCGTCGCCCTTCCTCCCTCCCGTCGCCTATCTCCCGTCACCTATCCTCTCTCCCGTCGCCCTTTCTCTCCCCCGTCGCCCTTTCTATCCCCCGTCGCCCTTTCTCTCCCCCGTCGCCCTTTCTCTCTCCTGTCGCCTTTCCTCCCTTTTGTCGCCCTTTCAATCTCCCGTCACCTACTCTCTCTCCCGTCGCCCTTTCTCTCTCCCATCGCCCTTTCACTCTTTTGTTGCCTTTCCTCCCTTCCGTCGCCCTTTCTCTCTCCCGTCGCGTATCCTCTCTCCCTTCTCCTTTCATCTCTCCCGTCGCCCTTCCTCTCTCCTGTCACCCATCCTCTCTTCGGTCGCCCTTTCTCTTTCCCGTCGCCCTTTCTCTCTACTGTCGCCTTTCCTCCCTTCCGTCTCCCTTCATCTCTCCCGTCGGCCTTTCTCTCTCCTGCCGCCCTTCGTTTCTCCCCTCCCATCACCCACCTCGGCGCCTTCGCGCTCGCCCCGAAATGCTTGCCCATCGCCTTTCTTCTCTCCCCTCCCATGACCTACCTCAACGCTCGAGCTCATGGTCACGTCACCTTTCCCAATGTCTCTCCCAACACCCTACCATTCCGTAATCTTCGCTCACTCAGCTCTCTCCGTGCGTCTTCGTTCCCGCCTCCCTATCCCTTTTTTATCTCTAACTTGAAACTCTCTGTTTTTTCCCGCATTCTGGTTTTCCTATGCTGTTTTTTCCGCTCCAGCAGGCCCATCCCTAAGGCGTTTGTTGTGCGTGAATTGCACATGCAACACTTGTAGAAATCGGCACACGATGTGATTGGGATTTGCACGTCGCAAGCTTGCGATGCATTTGCACATGCTTGCGACGTTTTTGTGTTTTTTTTTTTGTGAATAGTTGAACGTGTCTGAAAAACAAAACAGAACAACACTTCGAATTTCCGACGATTCACAAAGTTAGTTTGGGATTTCAAGTGGACCCACTAGAAGCACCCCCTTTCATATTCCTTGTACTCTTATATAATCTTGCATCTCTTTGTTTTAATCAACTTACTTTGCCCTCACATACTAGCGCAAGGTGGTTCACAACTCTTTAATTAACGCTTCCGCTACTACACCAACTCTACCCAGAGTTCACCCCTGCAAAGATCCTAAGGGCCTTTTCAGCCCAACATGGTATGAGAGCAATCAGGGGGAATTCAACTACTATACCGACAACATCAATCACCATGGCTACACAAAAGGAAAGGAGCAACTCCAACGGCTCCCAGGGCACTATGTCAGAACACGCTCTTAACTCTTGACTTAGTAACTTAGGGTTTACCTAGGAAGCGTGAGTGTCGAGAGTGAGCATGGCAAGAGAATTGGGCAAAGAGGGGATTCACTAAGGAATGTTTACAAGATATAGGATAGGGGAGAGGATAGGGTACACCACCAGCAGTTGAACCTAATAACTAACTAATACACTAGCAAGCTGTAGGCAGTTAGGATATGCAATATAATTCAACACACCCCCGTAACTGCCTACGGCTATAGCTAGTGGTGTCTGGCACCAGGTCGCCTGGAGAGCGGTTGCTGTAGCTGGGATAGGCACAGAAACAGCGGTGGCTGAGCGGCAGCACCTGTGAACGCCAGAACGGAGGAGGGCGCGGAGAGCGCGGAGGAGGGCTGGGATAGCCGGAGGGCGAAGGATGCTGGTCGCTCGCCATCTACGAGCAAACACAACTGTTGGTGAGGAGGAGGAAGCTGGTGGTGGTGCACAGGAGGAGAGCAGAGGAGATGCGGCTGGAGAGGAGAGAGGAGGAGGAGATGCGGCTATAGGAGAGGAGACTGGAGGAGGAGATGCGGCAGAAGGAGAGGAGAGGAGAGAGGAGGAGATGCGGCTGGAGGAGAAGAGGAGAGGAGAGGAGAGGAGAGGAGAAGAGGAGGAGGAGAGGAGAGGAGAGGAGAGGAGAGGAGAGGAGGTGGCTGGCGCGGCAGAAGCTTTCCCGCCACCCCCTCATTCCCCTCCCCCCCATGCGCTGGCGCTGGCGGAAGTGCTGGCGCTGGGCGCTGGCGTCGCGCTGGCGCTGGCGCCCGCCGTTGGCGCTTGCGCTAGCGCCCGCCGTCGGTGCTGGCGTCCGCGCTGGCGCTTGCGACCGCCGTTGGCGCTGGCGGTGGCGCCCGCCGTTGGCGCTGGCGCTGGCGCCCGCCGTTGGCGCTTGCGCTGGCGCCCGCCGTCGCCTCGCTGGCACGCTCGCCACTGGCAGAGCGCGACGGGGCAGGCGAAAGGGGGCAGCGCGACGGGTGCTGCAAAAGCAGCGGAGTTCGAGCCAGCAGCGGATTTCGCGCTACTAGCAGTAGCAGCCATGCCAGCAGCACAATAAGTCGCCATGGCAGATCGCGGGTTTGGTGGGCCCATGAAAACGAGGTCCTAGGAGGGACCACTCTCTGATATCATGTCAGAACACGCTCTTAACTCTTGACTTAGTAACTTAGGGTTTACCTAGGAAGCGTGAGTGTCGAGAGTGAGCATGGCAAGAGAATTGGGCAAAGAGGGGATTCACACTACTCCTACTCCACCTCCTGCCTCTGGCCTACAGACAGAGGAGGGCACGGCAACAAGACCCAGAGCAACATCTACCGAGACTCCCGCAAATCAACCTGCAGACTTCGACCAGAGCATGATGGAGAAGTTCTTCTCCTTCATGTCCTTCTACGAGCAACACCAGCAATCGGCACCTGCGCAGTCACACAATAGCAACAACAATGGAGCAACACCCATGAGTCTCGACGGCTCATCATATGCACGAGGAAATCAGCAACAGCAGCCCACCTTTGCTCCGTACGAGCGCGGGTCCATCGGCTTCATGCCACACCCACAAGGTTCACTATTTTAGCTGCTGGCTTTAAGACATTAGGAATCCGATGGTACACTTTTTATGTTCATCAAGCGGACATTAACCAATCGGACTCATTGTTGTTGGGCTGAAAAGGCCCTTAGGATCTTTGCAGGGGTGAACTCTGGGTAGAGTTGGTGTAGTAGCGGAAGCGTTAATTAAAGAGTTGTGAACCACCTTGCGCTAGTATGTGAGGGCAAAGTAAGTTGATTAAAACAAAGAGATACAAGATTATATAAGAGTACAAGGAATATGAAAGGATACGGTTATAACTGTTTTACTTGTTGCTGTTGCGGTTCGATACAGTGACGACTCGGGCAACTGCTCTGTAGCGAGTCAGTTGTGTGTCCTTGCTGTCGCGCTGTACTTGTCAGGTCAAAGGTCGCTGACCTTTGACTTTTGCGTAACCTCCAGCGGTTACTTCAACCTCCGAGGGTTGACTCGCTGGTGCCTCGATATGCTTTGCTTCGCTTGTGCCTTAGTGTTTCGACACGACAGAAGCGCTTAGGACCGATTGTTTCCAATACTCCCCTTCGCTTCTGGAGTGTCGCTGACGTGGCTCTGTCCAGTCAGCAGCATGCAGTATTCGAACTTCTGCTTTCCGAGCTTCTTGGTCAGGTAGTCAGCTGCCATCTCGGACGTGGGGCAGTATGACAGCTCGAGCCTTCCCTTCTCGATCTCGTCCTTCACGAAGAAATATCGCAGGGCGATGTGTTTCGTCCTGTTCGCGAAGCCGTTCTTGTTGGCGATGCGAATTGCCGATTGGTTGTCGCAGAACAGGGTAAAGTTGGGTAACTCGGCTAACTTCGCTTCTTCCAGCAGCTCGCGAAGATAGAGTCCTTCCTTGGTGGCTGAGCAGAGTGCAATATATTCTGCTTCAGCTGACGAGAGAGCAATTAGTTCCTGCTTGCTCGATTGCCAGGAGATAGGTCCGATAGGTTCGAGGCGGTAGATGTAGCCGGTGCGGGAGCGCCTATTGTCTGAGTCGCCCGCGTGATCTGCGTCGACGTAACCGATTAGCTTAGGCGTTGTAGTTGCGTTCTTATGGAAAGTCAGGCCGACCGTCGGGGTACTGACAAGGTAGTGAAGAGCGCGGTCGAGCTCCGCCAGATGTTCCGCTTCAGGCTTCTTGAGGTGGGTGGCGAGCTGGCTTGCAGAGTAGGATAGATCTGGGCGGCAGGTGACAGCTGCGAAGAGAAGGCAGCCCAGCTTTCTCTGGTAGTCGCGTATGCTGGCGGGCTTGAGTAGAACGGAGCCTTCCTTGTTGTTTGCTGTCGTGTAGCGGTACGGTGTGGAGATGACAGTCGGTGTGAGTGCGAAACGCTTGGCGATGGTGTCGGCGTATTTCGCGGCGCTGAGGTAGATAGCGTCTTCCTCTTCCCGGATGTTGAGGCCGAGGTACTGTGTGATGGTAGATGAGACCGTGAGTGTGAGGTCTTGCTGTAGCTCCCCTTCGAACCAGGTTGTAATGCCGTCAGTTGAGCCGATGTAGAGCAGATCGTCTACATAGATGATTAGCAGGATGTAGTCGGTACCCTTCGTGAGCCGGTACATGCCCTGGTCGTGCGGCAATTGCTTGAAGCCGATGCGAATGAGGCGAGCGTGTAGGAATTGTTGCCATACTCGCGGAGCTTGCTTGATGCCGTAGAGCGACTTGAGTAGTTGACAGACGTGGTTCGAGTCCGTGCTGGAGCCGTGTGGTAGCTCGACGAAGATCTCTGCGTCAACGGGTGCGTAGAGAAATGCGTTAGCGACGTCGATTTGCCGCATCTTCTTCTTCTTCATGGCGGCGATCGCGAGAAGGATGCGTAGCGAGGTGTGTCGGCTGACCGGAGCGAATGTTTCGGTGAAATCGCGTCCGTGCTCTTGGTCGAAGCCGCGTACGACCCAGCGTGCCTTAAATTTGTCGATGGTGCCGTCAGCCTTTGTCTTCACACGGAAGACCCACTTCCCGGTGAGCACTGTCTTGTTCCGTGCCACGCCGATAGGAACCACTTTCCACGTGTTGCGTTCCTCCAGTGCCTTCAGTTCCTTGTCCATGGCTTCGCGCCATTTTTCCCTATGTTCCCCCCCCAGAGCCTGCTGAACCGTCGCAGGCTCTTTAGGAGTGGCGGTGCCGTGGACTGCGGTGACGAGTCCGAGAATCTGTAGTCCACTCTGTGAGTAGCGGGGAAGATTTACGTCCTCGGGATAAGCTGCTTCATCTCCCGCTTCTGGATCAGGTATGAAGTTCGGTCCTACTCGTTCGGCTTCGTTGGTGTTGACTGTCGCAGGTGTTACGTAACCGTTGTCGGCGAAATGGTAGAAGGTTTCGGCGTTCGCACTTTCGCGAGGGTTGTCTTCGTCCATGGGAACGTCGACGGAGCAGAACGGAAGAGGTCCGGCTTCTTCTGATGCGTTGTCCACATTCTGCTCGTCCCAGTCGGCTTCGTCCGCTGCTGAGGCGAAGGCTCGGTCACCACGAAAACCACCTGTGGGATCCTGGTCTTCGTGCAGGTTGGCAAGGTATGTCTGGAGCGTGAGTTGTTCGTAGAAAATTACATCACGTGCTGCTACTGTTTCCTTGGAGTGGACGTCGAAGATTTTCCACGCGTTGTAGTTCTTTTCGATTCCCAGGTGTAGTCCCCACTGTGCTCGTTGAGAAAATCGGCCCGCTCGTGCTGCTGGGGGTCGGTACTGTACCATGCATCCGAATACTCGTAACATTTTTGTGCTGCCCTGTTTCCCTGTCCATAGCAGATGCGGTGATGCGTTGTTCGGAAGCGATGATGACGACAGCAAGTTGTGCAGCATGACGGCGTGGTCCATTGCTGCAGGCCACTGGTGGTTGGGTAGCCGCATGCCACGTAACAGTTTGCGCATGCTGTTCTGCAAGGTCCTGTTCATTCTTTCTGCTACACCCTGCTGCTGATGGGCGTAGGGAAGGGAGATGAGTCGCTTGATTCCCCTTTCCGCCAGGTACTGCTTGAATCGCTGAGAGGTGTATTCTCCTCCGTCTGACTGGAAGCTTTTCAGCTTCACGCCTGATTCTCTCTCTGCTACTGGTAGCCAGGCAACGAAGGCTGCGAATGCCATGTCGCGGCTAGGGAGGTTTAGGTGCCAGACGTAACGGGTGGCGGCGTCGATGAAGGTGATTGTATAGTTGTATATTACTTGTCCTGGTTCCCGATTGTACAGGATGTCGCTATACACCTTCTCGAGTGGTGCGTACGCGGGTGCGCTCGGGTTGTGATGAGACGCAAACGGTCGATGTGGTAAGTCACCCTCAGGGCAGGTGAGGCACGTTCCGCGTACTCGTTGAAGTTCTCGTCCGTCGGTCAGTAGAAGTGAGTCCTTGTCGAGTACTCCTGCTCTTATCGTATTGTTTAATACTGTGTTGCTTGGGTGTCCCATCCTTGCGTGCCAGGTGCTTTCGTCGGCGCGATGTCCGGGTGATCGTCGGTACATATCTGAGTTGGAGTAGAAGTTGGCGGTGAAGTTGGCGCTACGATGAACTTCTCGTGGTGCTGGGTGTAGTTGTTGCGCGGGTGTCGGTGGTGTGTCGTCGATGAGGAGCGGTGTCGTTGAAGGACCAGCAATTGGTGTTGACGTTCTTGCTGCTGCCGTTGATGGTTCTGCTACTGCCGATGTTGTCTCTGCTGCTGCCGATGTTGTCTCTGCTGCTGCCGACGTTGTCTCTGCTGCTGCCGATGTTGTCTCTGTTGCTGCTGTTGTCTGAATTGTTGCTAACGCCCTTGTTCTTTCTGCTTCAGGGATGGTGTGTGAATACCAGAAGCCTTCTGGACTGAAGTCTGGATCAAGGTCTGGAGGGTGTGTCCAGTCGGTGAAGTTAACGATGGCGTCGCTGTCGGCGGTGCCAAGGTCAGGAACGAAGTCAAGAACGAAGACGTTGTTCTTGAGGACCGCCTTGCCGATGTAGAGTCCTCCTCTCCCGTGATAAAGCTTGAATTCTTGGGTGGTGCTGTCTGCTTCGAGGTGAATCCCCTTTGCCATTAGCTGACTGATGCTCAGTAAGTTGTAGCCGAGTCCCTCCGCGATTAGTACTTTTGACATCTGCAGTACAACGTTTGTTTCCCTTGACTGAAGTTGAACTACTCCTTGTCGTCGTGTTCGCAGGTTCTGATTGTTGGCGACTGTAATGACAACTTCGCGTTGAAGTTGGTGTTCTCGTTGAACGAAGCGTCCCGAGGAGCACATGTGCTGTCCGCAGCAACTGTCCAAGAACCATGTGTCCCTTCCGGATGGTTCGCTTTGGGCGATGGCGGCGTATGTCGGGTTCGGCTGAAGTGACTCGCGGCGGGGTGTGGTTTCGTCGAGTTGCTCTTCCGGTGAGTAGTGTGGCGGTGACTCGGCGATGCAGGAGTCACTCAGCTTTGCCATGCAGTTGACGATGTTTCTTGCTCCTTGTGCAGGTTGTCCTGTTGAGGTCGTTGAAGCTTGAATCTGAGTCGTGGGATTTGCTTGCGTTGAGGCGATTTGGCTGCTTGAAGGTCGAAGTTGCCGCTGTGGAGTTGTTGACTGTTGACGATTCGGGCAGTGCGTGCGCGGGTGTCCTGAAGTTTTGCAGATGTGGCAGAACGGAGGTACTAGCTTCGGTTGTTGCTGCCGGTTGTTGTTGTTGTTGTAGCGTCGCTGAGTGTGGAACGCGAATTCCGGTGCTGATGTTTTCTTTTTGTGTCGTTCTTCTTGCAGGTCCATGTCTTGCTGCTCGGCGTGGATTTCGGCGCAGAGCGCTGCTTCGGAGATTCTTCCGTGAGCTCGGAGAATGGCCTTTGTGGCGCGCCATTGAGGACCGAGGCCGCCGATGATGACTGTCACGAAGGCGTCTTCAGAGATCGATCCTCCGCATCGAAGGAGCTTGTCGCGCAACTCGCGACATCGGCTGATATACGCCATTCCTTTCTCCCCTGGTTTCATTTCAACCGTTGTCAGTTGCGCCATTAACCGACTTTGGCTTACGCTGTCTGTTGCTTGATACAGGCTCTTCAGGTGGTTGTACGCGAGCTCCGCGGAGTTGCCGTAACCTCGGTAAGACCTTATGTTCTGCTGTTGAGTCGGGGTGATATTCCTCAGTAGGATCGTGTACGCCATCATTGACTGATAGGTGTATTGCTGCTTCTCGTACTGTGTGCCGTTTGTTGGGTATGGCAGAGACCCGTCGAAGAACCCGAGTATCTGCGCGCCTTCCATCATCAGCTCGAACTCAAACGACCAGGTGAAGAAGTCCTTTCCATCAAAGGGTCTTGACGTCTGCATCTTCAGAACGTGTGCGAACTGCGACTGAACTTGTAATGCGTCCAGTGGTTTTTCTTGTCCAGGTGAGGGCTGTGGGTGTGGCATGAAGCTGATGGACCCGCTCTCGTACGGAGCAAAGGTGGGCTGCTGTTGCTGATTTCCTCGTGCATATGATGAGCCGTCGAGACTCATGGGTGTTGCTCCGTTGTTGTTGCTATTGTGTGACTGCGCAGGTGCCGATTGCTGGTGTTGCTCGTAGAAGGACATGAAGGAGAAGAACTTCTCCATCATGCTCTGGTCGAAGTCTGCAGGTTGATTTGCGGGAGTCTCGGTAGATGTTGCTCTGGGTCTTGTTGCCGTGCCCTCCTCTGTCTGTAGGCCAGAGGCAGGAGGTGGAGTAGGAGTAGTGCCCTGGGAGCCGTTGGAGTTGCTCCTTTCCTTTTGTGTAGCCATGGTGATTGATGTTGTCGGTATAGTAGTTGAATTCCCCCTGATTGCTCTCATACCATGTTGGGCTGAAAAGGCCCTTAGGATCTTTGCAGGGGTGAACTCTGGGTAGAGTTGGTGTAGTAGCGGAAGCGTTAATTAAAGAGTTGTGAACCACCTTGCGCTAGTATGTGAGGGCAAAGTAAGTTGATTAAAACAAAGAGATACAAGATTATATAAGAGTACAAGGAATATGAAAGGATACGGTTATAACTGTTTTACTTGTTGCTGTTGCGGTTCGATACAGTGACGACTCGGGCAACTGCTCTGTAGCGAGTCAGTTGTGTGTCCTTGCTGTCGCGCTGTACTTGTCAGGTCAAAGGTCGCTGACCTTTGACTTTCGCGTAACCTCCAGCGGTTACTTCAACCTCCGAGGGTTGACTCGCTGGTGCCTCGATATGCTTTGCTTCGCTTGTGCCTTAGTGTTTCGACACGACAGAAGCGCTTAGGACCGATTGTTTCCAACACTCCCCTTCGCTTCTGGAGTGTCGCTGACGTGGCTCTGTCCAGTCAGCAGCATGCAGTATTCGAACTTCTGCTTTCCGAGCTTCTTGGTCAGGTAGTCAGCTGCCATCTCGGACGTGGGGCAGTATGACAGCTCGAGCCTTCCCTTCTCGATCTCGTCCTTCACGAAGAAATATCGCAGGGCGATGTGTTTCGTCCTGTTCGCGAAGCCGTTCTTGTTGGCGATGCGAATTGCCGATTGGTTGTCGCAGAACAGGGTAAAGTTGGGTAACTCGGCTAACTTCGCTTCTTCCAGCAGCTCGCAAAGATAGAGTCCTTCCTTGGTGGCTGAGCAGAGTGCAATATATTCTGCTTCAGGTGACGAGAGAGCAATTAGTTCCTGCTTGCTCGATTGCCAGGAGATAGGTCCGATAGGTTCGAGGCGGTAGATGTAGCCGGTGCGGGAGCGCCTATTGTCTGAGTCGCCCGCGTGATCTGCGTCGACGTAACCGATTAGCTTAGGCGTTGTAGTTGCGTTCTTATGGAAAGTCAGGCCGACCGTCGGGGTACTGACAAGGTAGTGAAGAGCGCGGTCGAGCTCCGCCAGATGTTCCGCTTCAGGCTTCTTGAGGTGGGTGGCGAGCTGGCTTGCAGAGTAGGATAGATCTGGGCGGCAGGTGACAGCTGCGAAGAGAAGGCAGCCCAGCTTTCTCTGGTAGTCGCGTATGCCGGCGGGCTTGAGTAGAACGGAGCCTTCCTTGTTGTTTGCTGTCGTGTAGCGGTACGGTGTGGAGATGACAGTCGGTGTGAGTGCGAAACGCTTGGCGATGGTGTCGGCGTATTTCGCGGCGCTGAGGTAGATAGCGTCTTCCTCTTCCCGGATGTTGAGGCCGAGGTACTGTGTGACGGTAGATGAGACCGTGAGTGTGAGGTCTTGCTGTAGCTCCCCTTCGAACCAGGTTGTAATGCCGTCAGTTGAGCCGATGTAGAGCAGATCGTCTACATAGACGATTAGCAGGATGTAGTCGATACCCTTCGTGAGCCGGTACATGCCCTGGTCGTGCGGCAATTGCTTGAAGCCGATGCGAATGAGGCGAGCGTGTAGGTATTGTTGCCATAGTCGCGGAGCTTGCTTGATGCCGTAGAGCGACTTGAGTAGTTGACAGACGTGGTTCGAGTCCGTGCTGGAGCCGTGTGGTAGCTCGACGAAGATCTCTGCGTCAACGGGTGCGTAGAGAAATGCGTTAGCGACGTCGATTTGCCGCATCTTCTTCTTCTTCATGGCGGCGATCGCGAGAAGGATGCGTAGCGAGGTGTGTCGGCTGACCGGAGCGAATGTTTCGGTGAAATCGCGTCCGTGCTCTTGGTCGAAGCCGCGTACGACCCAGCGTGCCTTAAATTTGTCGATGGTGCCGTCAGCCTTTGTCTTCACACGGAAGACCCACTTCCCGGTGAGCACTGTCTTGTTCCGTGCCACGCCGATAGGAACCACTTTCCACGTGTTGCGTTCCTCCAGTGCCTTCAGTTCCTTGTCCATGGCTTCGCGCCATTTTTCCCTATGTTCCCCCCCCAGAGCCTGCTGAACCGTCGCAGGCTCTTTAGGAGTGGCGGTGCCGTGGACTGCGGTGACGAGTCCGAGAATCTGTAGTCCACTCTGTGAGTAGCGGGGAAGATTTACGTCCTCGGGATAAGCTGCTTCATCTCCCGCTTCTGGATCAGGTATGAAGTTCGGTCCTACTCGTTCGGCTTCGTTGGTGTTGACTGTCGCAGGTGTTACGTAACCGTTGTCGGCGAAATGGTAGAAGGTTTCGGCGTTCGCACTTTCGCGAGGGTTGTCTTCGTCCATGGGAACGTCGACGGAGCAGAACGGAAGAGGTCCGGCTTCTTCTGATGCGTTGTCCACATTCTGCTCGTCCCAGTCGGCTTCGTCCGCTGCTGAGGCGAAGGCTCGGTCACCACGAAAACCACCTGTGGGATCCTGGTCTTCGTGCAGGTTGGCAAGGTATGTCTGGAGCGTGAGTTGTTCGTAGAAAATTACATCACGTGCTGCTACTGTTTCCTTGGAGTGGACGTCGAAGATTTTCCACGCGTTGTAGTTCTTTTCGTTTCCCAGGTGTAGTCCCCACTGTGCTCGTTGAGAAAATCGGCCCGCTCGTGCTGCTGGGGGTCGGTACTGTACCATGCATCCGAATACTCGTAACATTTTTGTGCTGCCCTGTTTCCCTGTCCATAGCAGATGCGGTGATGCGTTGTTCGGAAGCGATGATGACGACAGCAAGTTGTGCAGCATGACGGCGTGGTCCATTGCTGCAGGCCACTGGTGGTTGGGTAGCCGCATGCCACGTAACAGTTTGCGCATGCTGTTCTGCAAGGTCCTGTTCATTCTTTCTGCTACACCCTGCTGCTGATGGGCGTAGGGAAGGGAGATGAGTCGCTTGATTCCCCTTTCCGCCAGGTACTGCTTGAATCGCTGAGAGGTGTATTCTCCTCCGTCTGACTGGAAGCTTTTCAGCTTCACGCCTGATTCTCTCTCTGCTACTGGTAGCCAGGCAACGAAGGCTGCGAATGCCATGTCGCGGCTAGGGAGGTTTAGGTGCCAGACGTAACGGGTGGCGGCGTCGATGAAGGTGATTGTATAGTTGTATATTACTTGTCCTGGTTCCCGATTGTACAGGATGTCGCTATACACCTTCTCGAGTGGTGCGTACGCGGGTGCGCTCGGGTTGTGATGAGACGCAAACGGTCGATGTGGTAAGTCACCCTCAGGGCAGGTGAGGCACGTTCCGCGTACTCGTTGAAGTTCTCGTCCGTCGGTCAGTAGAAGTGAGTCCTTGTCGAGTACTCCTGCTCTTATCGTATTGTTTAATACTGTGTTGCTTGGGTGTCCCATCCTTGCGTGCCAGGTGCTTTCGTCGGCGCGATGTCCGGGTGATCGTCGGTACATATCTGAGTTGGAGTAGAAGTTGGCGGTGAAGTTGGCGCTACGATGAACTTCTCGTGGTGCTGGGTGTAGTTGTTGCGCGGGTGTCGGTGGTGTGTCGTCGATGAGGAGCGGTGTCGTTGAAGGACCAGCAATTGGTGTTGACGTTCTTGCTGCTGCCGTTGATGGTTCTGCTACTGCCGATGTTGTCTCTGCTGCTGCCGATGTTGTCTCTGCTGCTGCCGACGTTGTCTCTGCTGCTGCCGATGTTGTCTCTGCTGCTGCTGTTGTCTGAATTGTTGCTAACGCCCTTGTTCTTTCTGCTTCAGGGATGGTGTGTGAATACCAGAAGCCTTCTGGACTGAAGTCTGGATCAAGGTCTGGAGGGTGTGTCCAGTCGGTGAAGTTAACGATGGCGTCGCTGTCGGCGGTGCCAAGGTCAGGAACGAAGTCAAGAACGAAGACGTTGTTCTTGAGGACCGCCTTGCCGATGTAGAGTCCTCCTCTCCCGTGATAAAGCTTGAATTCTTGGGTGGTGCTGTCTGCTTCGAGGTGAATCCCCTTTGCCATTAGCTGACTGACGCTCAGTAAGTTGTAGCCGAGTCCCTCCGCGATTAGTACTTTTGACATCTGCAATACAACGTTTGTTTCCCTTGACTGAAGTTGAACTACTCCTTGTCGTCGTGTTCGCAGGTTCTGATTGTTGGCGACTGTAATGACAACTTCGCGTTGAAGTTGGTGTTCTCGTTGAACGAAGCGTCCCGAGGAGCACATGTGCTGTCCGCAGCAACTGTCCAAGGACCATGTGTCCCTTCCGGATGGTTCGCTTTGGGCGATGGCAGCGTATGTCGGGTTCGGCTGAAGTGACTCGCGGCGGGGTGTGGTTTCGTCGAGTTGCTCTTCCGGTGAGTAGTGTGGCGGTGACTCGGTGATGCAGGAGTCACTCAGCTTTGCCATGCAGTTGACGATGTTTCTTGCTCCTTGTGCAGGTTGTCCTGTTGAGGTCGTTGAAGCTTAAATCTGAGTCGTGGGATTTGCTTGCGTTGAGGCGATTTGGCTGCTTGAAGGTCGAAGTTGCCGCTGTGGAGTTGTTGACTGTTGACGATTCGGGCAGTGCGTGCGCGGGTGTCCTGAAGTTTTGCAGATGTGGCAGAACGGAGGTACTAGCTTCGGTTGTTGCTGCCGGTTGTTGTTGTTGTTGTAGCGTCACTGAGTGTGGAACGCGAATTCCGGTGCTGATGTTTTCTTTTTGTGTCGTTCTTCTTGCAGGTCCATGTCTTGCTGCTCGGCGTGGATTTCGGCGCAGAGCGCTGCTTCGGAGATTCTTCCGTGAGCTCGGAGAATGGCCTTTGTGGCGCGCCATTGAGGACCGAGGCCGCCGATGATGACTGTCACGAAGGCGTCTTCAGAGATCGATCCTCCGCATCGAAGGAGCTTGTCGCGCAACTCGCGACATCGGCTGATATACGCCATTCCTTTCTCCCCTGGTTTCATTTCAACCGTTGTCAGTTGCGCCATTAACCGACTTTGGCTTACGCTGTCTGTTGCTTGATACAGGCTCTTCAGGTGGTTGTACGCGAGCTCCGCGGAGTTGCCGTAACCTCGGTAAGACCTTATGTTCTGCTGTTGAGTCGGGGTGCTATTCCTCAGTAGGATCGTGTACGCCATCATTGACTGATAGGTGTATTGCTGCTTCTCGTACTGTGTGCCGTTTGTTGGGTATGGCAGAGACCCGTCGAAGAACCCGAGTATCTGCGCGCCTTCCATCATCAGCTCGAACTCAAACGACCAGGTGAAGAAGTCCTTTCCATCAAAGGGTCTTGACGTCTGCATCTTCAGAACGTGTGCGAACTGCGACTGAACTTGTAATGCGTCCAGTGGTTTTTCTTGTCCAGGTGAGGGCTGTGGGTGTGGCATGAAGCTGATGGACCCGCGCTCGTACGGAGCAAAGGTGGGCTGCTGTTGCTGATTTCCTCGTGCATATGATGAGCCGTCGAGACTCATGGGTGTTGCTCCGTTGTTGTTGCTATTGTGTGACTGCGCAGGTGCCGATTGCTGGTGTTGCTCGTAGAAGGACATGAAGGAGAAGAACTTCTCCATCATGCTCTGGTCGAAGTCTGCAGGTTGATTTGCGGGAGTCTCGGTAGATGTTGCTCTGGGTCTTGTTGCCGTGCCCTCCTCTGTCTGTAGGCCAGAGGCAGGAGGTGGAGTAGGAGTAGTGCCCTGGGAGCCGTTGGAGTTGCTCCTTTCCTTTTGTGTAGCCATGGTGATTGATGTTGTCGGTATAGTAGTTGAATTCCCCCTGATTGCTCTCATACCATGTTGGGCTGAAAAGGCCCTTAGGATCTTTGCAGGGGTGAACTCTGGGTAGAGTTGGTGTAGTAGCGGAAGCGTTAATTAAAGAGTTGTGAACCACCTTGCGCTAGTATGTGAGGGCAAAGTAAGTTGATTAAAACAAAGAGATACAAGATTATATAAGAGTACAAGGAATATGAAAGGATACGGTTATAACTGTTTTACTTGTTGCTGTTGCGGTTCGATACAGTGACGACTCGGGCAACTGCTCTGTAGCGAGTCAGTTGTGTGTCCTTGCTGTCGCGCTGTACTTGTCAGGTCAAAGGTCGCTGACCTTTGACTTTCGCGTAACCTCCAGCGGTTACTTCAACCTCCGAGGGTTGACTCGCTGGTGCCTCGATATGCTTTGCTTCGCTTGTGCCTTAGTGTTTCGACACGACAGAAGCGCTTAGGACCGATTGTTTCCAACAATTGTCAGGTGCTCCCAAGGTTTCAGTTAACAATGATTTCCCCAAGGCACGCGCCGTTCTCAAGGGCTTTTTCTCGGTTCTCGTCTTTGTTGATATGCTCGTGGCGCGTTACAAGCTTTACAAGTTCTACGGCAGCTATATATGTTGGCATTGGTGGAGAAGCAAACACAAACTCAAAGAGGAGCTTCCAGTGCTCAGTCTACTCGTGCGTCTACTTGCGCGGTCAGCCTCCCCTGCGCTCTCAAGACGCCTTTATCATCATCGCACTATGGCTCCTCCTGAAGGATCTCCTGTGGTGCATGCTCCTGCTGCGGGACTCCACGGGAAAAAGCCCTTGGATGCAACGTCCGAGCCTGTCACCCCGAAGACGCTTTTCAACGGGGGTGGCTGCTCTGCGCGGAGGGGAAGAGATCAACGCTTTCACGGCTCGTACATCGGCTTTGAGCATCAACGACCTGCCGCGAGAGGGCAATGTTAACGTCAATGTCAACGACGTGGCGCCTGCTGGCTCTTCGGCTGACGCGGCTACGCAAAGCAAGGGCAAGGAAAAGGTTTCAGATGCGGCCGATGAGGAGGGTTACCTCAGCGACGACCCAGATGAATGCCAGGATCCGGCAGTGTTAAACGAGATCGCTGCGCAGGCTGGGGTGGCGATCACCCTGCTGGTTCCTTTCGCATGGAGCAAAGAGATTCCGCGGATCATCGGCACGGTCAAGCACCTGGTGAAGATGTGGGGAAAGCACATGACAGAGAGTGCGGCGACATCGACAAGGTGTCAGCAACTCACGACGACTTTCCTTTCAAAGCAACATTTCGGGCGAATCGAAGTGGTTTTCCAGCAGGAGGCGGATGCGGCTTTTATGCGAAGCAGGGAGATTGAGCATTACACGGCGAACGAGAAGAAACTTACGCTCGGCTGGCAGCATCCGGAGAACAAGCTGTATCTGAGGGAGAGAGCTGCTCACCCGGAGGCGATAGAGGTGCTGCTGAAGGGGGTGCCGGCGGTGATCTCACCCGAGATTATTAAGAAGAATCTGGTGACGGCGATGCTGTTGAAGCGGGGTCGTACGGCCTTCCGCGACGGCTCCGCCTTTCATCGCGTGCTGGACCCGGTCTCAGGGTCGGATACTGACAAGATAAAGGGCCTGGTTTTCAGGCACCCGGGGGATAAGTATAAGTGGTGGCACAGGGTCTCCGACCGTGTCCACGGAATCGAGCTTTTGGTGTCGTTCCCCGCACTCACATGTGTTTTCTGCAACGGAATGCATATGTCGTGCTTTCATGATGACTATGTGAAGGAGAGGCAGAATAACATCGGAAACTGGAATCTGCCGCTGCAGCGGGCTCACGAGATCAATGGTAACCCTTTCTGTTCTCACCTTGTCTTTCAGGACGCTGCAGCTGCAAAAGCAGACCTCCCAACTCACCTCTGTCTCATCTTCCCCCCGAGCAGCTGCTTCTCTGAAGCTATCATCGGTTTTGAAGACTCTGCTGGCGGACCCGGCGATAGCCTTGATTTCTACTGGAGGTGTCCGAGAGGAGTGGTTGTGTACGCAAGAGGATTGCGGGAAGTCACATGGAGCCAGTTTCGAGAAGGCGGTGGAGCATGTGCAGTCAGTCCGCCATGGCACCGGACTGCTCAAGGCGGGAGCCGCGACGCGTCTGAGCAAAGCGAAGCTGAATCTGGCGCAGGTCAGGAAGGAGTACGGAGTTTGACTGATCGGCCGATGTCATGCCTGGATCCGGAGGTAGTACCTGCAAGTCATGGAGGGGTTGGAATAGCATCAGCAGAGGAAAGTGTTGTTTGTAATTCTCTTAATAAAGCCCGTGGATGCGAGGGGCTCCTTACCAAGTGGATTAATGGGTAACAAGCCAGTACTCACCATCTGCGGGGTCAACGTGAATGGCCTCGGCGGTAGCGGCAAACGAACCAAGAACAGGAGATGGCTACGCACAGAAGCAGATACCATGGTGCTATCTGATACAAGGATTAGGGAGGACCATAACTTCTGGAACGAGATCAAACCAGCGGCGTGGGCTGCGGTCGGTCCGAGCCAGGCGGCGGGGGGGGGGGTTGCAGTGATGACCTTCAGCAGACGCATTCGCTTCTCCGACGTGGTGCCAAATCCGTCTGGAAGGCTGCTAGGGGTGACAGTGGAGGGGGGTGAAAGAGCCGTTCAGATTAGTCGTGGCATATCTCCCAGCGCAGGCCTGCAACAGGGCGAAATTTCACACGGAACATTTACAGCAGTTCATACAAGCGCAGCCGCAGACCAAACACCTGGTGGTCGTGGGGGACCTGAACATGGTTGCGGATCCTGACCTGGACAAGTCGCCTGGAGCTGGGTCTGGTAGAGAAAACCAGAGATTTATAGACGCCTGGCAGTGACATGATCTTCGAGATGCCTTCCGCGCTCTGCATCCCACCGAACGATACTACACCTTCCGGGTGCGGGCCACGCAGTCGAAGTCCCGCATAGACAGAGCTCTGGTGTCGGTGTCGCTGCTTGGCAACCTGGAGGGGGCTCGCCATGTGGGAGTGCCAAGGATTTTGTCGGACCACTGGTTCGCCATCAAGATTCGTCTAAAATTTGTGTCGGAACATGCTTATGGACCGGGACTCTGGAGATTCCACGCAACACGGCGGAAAAAGAAAGGGGTGAGAAAGGTGATTCAGTCGATTAAGGAGGCGCTCAGCCGGTCGGGCCGAGAATCACTGGAGGTTATGCTATCAAGGCTAACGACGGGTTTACGCGCGCACGAGAGGGAAGAGAGGAAGCGGGTAGCGGCGACACAACTGCATCTTACGGAGGAGGTTGAACGGATGCGTCACCTGGTCATGGGGGGGCCAACGGATGACAAAACAAAGGCGGTGTTGCTGACCAGGGAGGAGCAGCTGGAAGCCTATCGGGAAAATGAACGCGAGAGGCTGGAAGTTTTTGCGGGGATGACGACAGAGCTGCAAGGGGAGGTCCCTTCCCCCTACCTGTCAGCCAAAGTCAAGATGCGGAAGGAACGGACCCTGATAGAAGAGGTGCTGTACAAGGGGGAGAGGTGCAGGGGGTCACAAGCGGTGCTCAAAGCGGCATCATCCCACTTCGCAGAAGCTTTCACGGAAGCCCAAGCGGGGCCGGAGTCGGCGAGGGAAGATTTTACGGTGGATCGGGTGATGCCGGCAGAGGCGGTGTTAAGCTCAAGGCCCCGTGGTCGGAAGCGGAGGTCAAGGCGGCGCTGGCCGGGTTACCGAAGGGGAAATCGCCAGGCCAGGACGGACTCCCGGAAGAACTTTTTGTGACCCACTAGGACCTGCTGGGGGGATGCTTCATGAATTTCGCAAGAGGCTTTGAGTCGACGGGAAGACTGCCGGAATCAATGACTACGGCGTTGACAGTCCTGCTGCACAAGAAGGGGGAAAAAGACCTGCTGTCAAATTACAGGCCGATCACGCTCCTCACGACGGTGTACAAAGTACTCGCGAAGGTGCTTGCAAATAGGCTGAAGCTGGAACTGCACCACATAATTTCAAAAGAGCAGCACGGATTCATACCAGGCCGCAGTTTGGCGGATGCGGTGGCAGTGGTGGCAGATGCGATTGAGGCGGCAGACAGCAACGGGGAGGACTGGTACCTCCTGTTGGTCGACTTCCAGAAGGCCTATGACACGGTGTCAAGGCCGTTCCTCTTCAAAACACTGGAGAAACTCGGTTTGCCGGCGCATTTTATCAAGTGGACGGAAGGCCTGCACGCGGGGGCCAGGACGAGGCTGGCGGTCAATGGATGGATAGGAGAACGGGTGGAGATGCAAAGAGGAGTGCGGCAAGGTTGCCCCCTCGCACCCTACCTCTTCCTCTGCGCGTTGGAAACGCTCTGCGCTGAGATAAGGAGGCGTGACCTGGGAGTCCGAGCGGACGGCGGTGACGCGGTGTCGTATGTGGGATACACAGACGACACCTCTCTGATCCTCAACGGGGAAGCACAACTGCACTCGGCGGCGGCCGCTCTTGACTGGTTCGGGGAGCTGTCAGGTCTGCGCATCAACAGAGACAAGTCGATAGTCATGCCGATGGGGAGGAACAAGGGCAGGACGTCACTGCCTGGTGTTACCTTCAAATGGCCCGACACCGGAGTCCCTGAGAGGCTGCTTGGCATCTGGGTAACGCCGAATGGTGACCCCGCGCCTTCCTGGGAAAAGGCATGGGAGAGGGGGAGGAAGGAGCTGGCGAAGTGGGAGAGTCAGCATTTATTGACGGCGGCGAGAGTTACAATCATCAACAATTATATCATGCCGATTCTGCTCTTTCAGGCGCAGATCTACCCGCCACGGGAGGAGTTATGGGGGAAAATCCGGAAAACCTGTGACAATTACGTCTCAAAAGGGGAAGCAACGACAGAGAATAATTTTGTCCTCTGGAGCGGGGAGCTGGCCCGTTTGCCAAAGAAGGAGGGGGGCCTGGGGCTAATTGACCCGAAGGAACGGTTGGACAGCCTAGCGATTCGACAAGTGGGGAAGTTCCTGACGGAGCAGGATGTCACGAAGCGGTGGCTGACGGAGAAAGCGGCGGCTCTGCCATAGGGGGTGGCGACCTTCTTCGCTCACAAGTCAGCCGGCAGGCACTGGGACAAAGGAAGCCGGAGGTGGAAGGCGATAGCAGAAGTTTTTTGGGAGTCGCCCTTCGCGGACCTCCCAGCGCCATCCAATACCTGGGAAGTGGAGAGGGAGCAGCTTTGTTTCAACAGGCGCATAATGTTCCGGAGAGAGAGTCCGTTCGGGAACACACAGGGAGCTGCAGGGATTAGAGCGGCAAAAATCGGAGACCTGCTCACCATTAAAGAGGACGGGAGTAGAGGCATCAAAGAGGCTAAGACTCTGATGGAGGAGTTTGGGAGTGTGGCATCAGCAAGATGGGCTAAGAACGCATACGAAGCAGTCCCGGAGGAATGGAAACTGATGATTGAGAAGCCAAGGTCGGCGGAGATGGTGGTGGCGGCGGCAAGAGTAATACGTACGGTGCTGGCACGCACGCAAGAGTTCCTCTACTGGACGGTGCGAGGAGTTAAAGACGGGGGGGTGGCGACGGATCACATGGACTGCACGGATCGTGCAAACCTGGTTGTGCCGCAGCGGCCCTACGCGGTCACTTTCCCGGTCAAGAGCGTGGCGCCGGTGGCGGTAAAAGGGGGGAGAGTGCTCGACGCCATGGGCGAGCCAAGAGCCAAGCTATGTCAAACCTCGCTAGTGGGAGACGATCTGAAGCCGGCCGCACCTAAGGTGATTAGGAGGTTGTTGGCGAGCCCAACAACGGAGTCGAGGCGGAGACACGAGTGGGAGGAGGAGTGGGGAAAGAAAATTGATTGGAAAGCAGTAAGGGAGAGGAGGGACTCCCTTGTAATTCCATACAGGGCACGAGATGTGGTACTGAGAATGCACAGCAAGAACCTACAAGTGGGGGAAAGGCTGGTTTTCCTGGGGCCCAGAGGTTGCTGTCCGCACTGCGGGGAGCCTGAAACCCTAGTCCACTGCATGCTAACCTGCCCCGTCATTCAGCCAGTGATCGGCGCGCTGCTGAGATCGCTGCGGACCATAGACCCGGCGGATCAGACGAGGTCGCTAGGCGACATGCTGTTCCAAGAGGGAGCCACGAAGTCCGGCTTCCCAGGGGCGACTCTGACAGCAGTGACAATGCGAAGGATTTGGTTGGCTAGGGTGGATGCGGTGTACAAGAAGAGAGGTTCCAGAAGAAGAAGGTGGCCCGGGCGGCTATCTATGACTTAATGCGCCATGCGAGGATCTACAGGGCGGAAAAGTTGAGAAAGGCATCAGCGGGGAAGGTCAGGGGACAGCCACGAGACCCATGGGGCGGCCTGGCAGGCGACGAAAGGGCAGCGATTGCAAGAATCTGTGAGGCGGGGGAACAGGCCACGTGGAAGGTAGATTTCTTATCCATATGGCAGAACCCCAAGACCTTCCGCCGGCCACCGTAGACACGGGCAGGGGGGAGGCACCTGAACTCCGGTTTAAGGTCTGTCGGTTCCCTCCAGAATCCAGTTACGACTGCGAATGTATTTGCATGATTATAATGCAAACTCGTTCTAAAAAAAAATATTATTGCCAACAAATTGTAAATGTACACCACTGTCGACCATGTACAGTTCACTTGTTAGGCCACACAGCTCGGGAAAATACGCCACACCTAATCAACAAGGGTCTCGATAATTTGTTTGGTAAAAAAAAAACGGGTACGGTCAAAGGAAAGGGTGTTTTCACGTGTTTGATAAAGCGTTTCACGGAATCAGTCACAATCAACTGGGAAAAAAAAACGCGAATGGTCACAGATGAAACTCCCGCCCAAAAAAGATAATACCCAAAACGAACCTGGATGCATTTTCGGATGAATCAACCCTAAACACAATTCGCCAGGTGTTTAGGTTTGATCCGTTCCCAAACCGCATCCAATTCCGATTGGGTTTTAGTTTTTTTAGAAGTTAGATGATTGGTTGGACGCGAGCGGGAATATTGTAGAGTTTCAAGAGTTTTTGGCGGGAGTTACATGTGTGACCATTCGCGTGATTTTTCAACTGTTGTTAGTGACTGAATCCGTGACCCCGATTACCAAAACCGCCAGGAAACCCGATACAGTGACCGTACGCGTTTTTTTTGTACCATTCAAGTTATCGGGTCCCATGGTCGTTACGTGTGGCATATTTTCCCACACAGCT